ATTCCATCTGCATGCCCTCGGCTCTGGAGGAAAGTTTTGTGACTTCACAAAATGAGATAGAACGTGAGAACACAAAACCCGACAGCAGATGCAATATGCAATTGTGGAATTTAAATTATCATTTCGTTTATTCCACAACATTATAAAAATCTTGGATTTTTCAAGATGGAAACTGTATTAATTTGCTAGGGGTCACCATAGCAAAATATAAACTGGGTGGCTTAAGTGACAGAAATTCATTTTCTTACAGTTGTGGAGGCTAGAAATCTGAGATCAAGGTGTGGGCAAGATTGGTTTCTTCTGGGAGTTGTGAGGTAGCAACCTGTTCTGTCCCTCTCTGCCGGCGTCTCATGCTTGCTGGTGTCTCTCACGTTTCTCAGCCTCTGCAGCGTCACCCCGATCTCTGCCTTCACCTGCCCATGGTTTTCCTGTGTCTATGTCTGTGTCCCGGTTTCCTTATATAAGGATACCAGTTGCTTTGGATCAGGGGCCCACTCTACTCCAGTATGACCTCATCTTAACAATTTCATCTACAATGACCCTATTTTCAAATAAGTCCACATCCTGAGGAATGAGGAGTCAGGACTTCAGCATATGAAATCTGGAGGGACACAATTCAACCCCAACAGAAGCTAATAACAAGCAAAGCCATCTTTTGTAGAGAATTCTCTCTATGTTAAAAGCTTGCCTTCTCTCCTCTCTCCAGTCACCTTTGTTATGTTCCACTTACAGAGGGGCACACTTTTGTCAGCGATCCCTGCAGATATGTGGTGTGGTTGATACCATTAAATATTTATGTAGGCTGGGCATGATGGTTAGGCCGGGTGCCATGGCTTGTGCCTGTAATACCAGCACTTTGGGAAGCGGAGGTGGGCGGATCACTGGAGGTCACGAGTTCGAGACCACCCTGGATAACATGGTGGAACCCCATCTCTACTAAAAATACAAAAAATTAGCTTGGCCTTGTGGTGCGCACCTGGAATCCCAGCTACCTGGGAGGCCAAGGCAGGAGAATCGCTTGAATCTGAGAAGTGGAGGTTGCAGTAAGTAAGCTGAGATCACGCCACTGCACTCCAGGGTGGGAGACAGAGTGAGCCTCCGTCTCAAAAAATGTATATATATCTATATCTATATATCTATATTTATATTTATATTTATATATGTAGATGCTTGCCTCAGCCTCCCAAAGTGCTAGGATTACCGGTGTGAACCACTGCACCCAACTGTAACTTCTTTAGGACACAAACATGTTCTATGGTTTTTACTACCTCTCATGCACCTATACTAGTTACTAGCTGCTCAATAAAACTGAGATCCAATATCTAAATATAGATATAGACATTACTTAAAAATTTATTGGCAGGTTGTGGTGGCTCACTTTTGCCACCCCAGCGCTTTAGTAGGCCAAGAGTTTGAGACCAGCCTGGAGAACATTTTTAATGAAAAAAAATTAGCCTACTTGGGAAGCTGAGGTGGGAGAATAGCTTGAGCCCAGGAGTTCTAGGCTGCAGTGAGCTGTGATTGCACCACTGCACTCCAGTCTGAGTGATAGAATGAGACCCTGTTTCTAAAAAAATATAAAAATTATCCAAGTTAATCTGGTTCAAAATATTCGACACTTTCATTACCTGTGCTCCATCTTTGTGCACGAGTCACGAAGTCATTTTATTTTCTTAGCATGAGGCTTGATCCTGTTGTCTTCCTTGCATTAACAGTGGTTCTGACCTCATTCCTGTCCCTGTCACCCAATGTGTGGATGAATGTAGTTTTCCCCTACTCCATACTCTATTGTAAGATTTTGCTCTTCTAATATCATTCACTGGTCATAGAATGTCAGTGGATCCTTGCATCAATTGTACAAATAAAGCTCCTGGAATTCAAGGCTGGCTGATATGTATTCTTATCCCATTTATGCAATCCTCTGACCTCCTATAACGGGGCTGCTGAGTTCTGCTGAAGAAATGCATGGATTGGCACTATTACAAACTCATTATTTCCATCTAACCTTATGAACTTTTCCTACCACCTGTAAATATATGACTTTCTCCACTCAACTCCTCAGTAACTATTTTAAATCTTCCTCAAGCATTAACCTAACATATGTACTCTCTGGAGCCTATGTAGTTGTTCTGAAAAGTGGAGAAATTGGGAGTGACTTTTCTCATGTCTGTTCCCATGTGCTTACAAACTTACTAACACTCACTCATCTACAGCATCTAGTATAAGATCTACATCTTCATCTTCCACAACTTTTTGAGATGAAGTCATACTCTGTCATTCAGGCTGGAGTGCAGTGGTGTGATCTTGGCTCACTGTAACCTCCACCTCCTGAGTTCAAGCAATTCTCATGCCTCAGCCTCCCAAGTAGCTGGGATTACAGGTGCACACCAACAAACCAAGCTAATTTTTGTATTTTTAGTAGAGATGGGGTTTCACCATGTTGGCCAGGCTGGTCTCAAACTCCTGACTTCAGGTGATCCACACACCTCGGCTTCCCAAAGTGCTGGGATTGCAGGCAGGAGCCACCATGCCTGGGCCATCCACAACTTGTTCTGTGACACTTACCCTTGTTCCTTGACTCTACTCCCTTGGCCTCTGAGGACTTTACTCTGTGGGTCAATTTCCCTTCTCTCCCAGTATCATCCATCTTTCTCTCTTCCACAGTTTTTTCTTTTAAATTTCAGCATAAAAAATAAATAAGCATTTACATCTTAAAGCATGAAAAGCTTCAGGTGTGACAAGAAGAATTTAAGATACTTTGTAAACTTGGTGGAAGTACAGTTAGGTTTAGAAGTAATATGTAAATGTTCATGTTGGCGGCTGTAATCAGAATTGTTTTAGGGTTAAATGTACAGGAAAGTTTTAGAATGCAAGACTGTGGTAAGTACTTTATTCATTACTCATCCTATCACTGTGTTTAAGAGATGAATTCGGGTGCCTTAGAACAATAAGCATTTCTAGATATAAACCCCATATTATCAAGAGATCTACACAAGCCAGCAAACACCTGCAGCTCTTCAGCATGGAAGTTGGTGGTTATAAGTGCAATGGCTTACTCACAAGTACCTCTCCCAGGGGATTCTTTCCTGGTCTTGAACAGTTTCTTCCTCTAAGGCCTTCTAAGGGGTCTAGAGGGCAAGAACCATGTACCTGTTAGTAGGTTTTCTTTTTTTTGAAAAAATGCAAGGCACAGATCTTTTCTCAGAGAAAGAGATAACTAAACAAAGCCCTCACCAAGGTCTTCTTATACTCCACTAGCCCAGTTCTTTAAGCCCAACACTGTCTTGCCTAGATTGTAATTTCTTTTGTTTTAATTTTATTTATTTATTTATTTTTGAGACAGAGTTTTGCTCTTGTTGCCCAAGCTGGAGTGCAATGGGGCGATCTGGGCTCATAGCAACCTCTGCTTCCTTGGTTCAAGCAGTTTTCCTGCCTCAGCCTCCTGAGTAGCTGAGATTACCCGCATGCGCCACCATGCCTGGCTAATTTTGTATTTTTAGTAGAGATGGAGTTTCTCCATGTTGGTCAGGCTGGTCTCGAACTACAGACCTCAGATGATCAGCCTGCCTCAGCCTCCCAAAGTGCTGGGATTACAGGTGTGAGCCACTGTACCCAGCTGTAACTTCTTTAGGACACTAACATGTTCTACAGTTTTTACTGTCTCTCATGCACCTACAATACTTACTAGCTGCTCAATAAAACTGAGATGCAAAATGTATGAATACAGGTAAGGCTGATGAGTTACAGACATTTGTACACCTCAAGAAGGGACTGTAGAGTGTATTGTCGGAAAGTATTTGTTTTCAGCTAATATTTTAATATAATGGCCTGAAAAATTATGTAATTGGTTGATACCTAGGAGAATTCAGAAAAAGTATGCATAATTCATTTTGAGGTTAGGATAACACTTTGAATAAGCCCTATGAACAGAAATAGTTTGGCAAACTTGAAGAGCAAGTCAACACAATTAAGATTTATTAAGCATGTATTTGGGCCAAGTAAGGAAAAAGTAGCCATTTCAAAATAGGCAGGTAAGAAAGCTGCACTCTGATGAGGAGAAAATCTTTTTCATTTCATATCGTCTTTGGAATCTGGTGATATTTTATATTTATCACATAGTCAACTTGGACTATTTACATTTCAAGTGCTTAGCGGCTGTTTGTGCCAAGTAGCTACCATTTTAGACAATATAGGTGAAAAGGCACCTTAGTACTGTTTGTTGAGGGAAGGTTATGAAAACACTTATCAACATGGCTGTGCGTGCCAGTAGTCCCAGCTGCGCAGGAGGCTGAAGTGGGAGGATTGTTTCAGAACAAGAGTTTGAAGCTGCAGTGAGCTATGAGCACGCCACGGCATTCCAGCCCGGGAAACAGAGTAACACCCTGTCTTAGAAAAAGAAAACACTTAACCCACTCCTATGCCCACTGCGTAAAGGTTTTCTCATGGGGATGAATACCTTGCAATTTCAGTTTTGTACACGTATCAGTGGCCTGCAGCTTCCCGCAGGCATCTCTTTACCTGACATCAAGGAAGTACCAAAGCAGGCGAGGCAAGGTGCTGTCAGATTACGGTTGCTTAAAGTCTGGATATCACAGCAAAAACTAGAGTAGAACTGGGCAGAGAAGAAATAAGATAGGTTACAAGATATAACTAGCAAGTCAGGAGGAAGTTAAAATTGAAAAATAAAGAGATATCTTTTTTTTTTTTTTTTTTTTTTTTTTTAATCCTATCAAATTGACTAAGAGTAAAAAGGCCGTTTAGGAGAAACTGAACAAGAGCTCTGGGAATGAATGCAAAGGAGTCCAGGAACGCTAGATAAGATCGACAGGGTGAGGCTACAGGAAGTAAGGGAAAGGCAGGCATTCCACCTGCCTCCAGCCTGAGTCACTGAAAGCATTCTTTTGCCATTAGCTTTGTTACAGAGAATACAGGAAAAAAGAGGGCTAGTTTTTCAGAAGCAAGAACAGATTGGGAATGTTGAGTTAAAGATTTGCATTTGAGTGCTCACTTCAGCAGTGCGTATACTAAACCTGGAATGATACAGAGAAAATTAGCATGGCCCCTGCACAAGGATGACACACAAATTTGTGAAGAAAAGGAAAGTTGTATTTGGAACTTGTTAGTGAGACACAGGTTGTGAGTCATTGCAAATAAACAGCAGCTGAAACCTTCTCCAGAAGGACCAGTGAGATTTTAAAAGGACGTAGGGGAGCTTCATCAAATGCCAATTTTGAAGGATTGTCTGAAGTTTGGGGATAGTGGTAAGAGAAAAATGAGGACATCAGAGTGTCATAGATTGGGGAGATACTTTGAAAAGAGTGACTTCCACTCAGCTGAATGCTGTAGAAGTGGGGAGTGGTAAGAATGCCACGAAGAGGTCATTCAACTTATTTAATAGAAAATTATTTGATACTTTTGAGGGAGAAATATCTACAAAGTAAAATGAGCAAAAAATATATTACACAGAGTTGGAATAAATAATACGTGTTCATATTGAAGGAATCACAAAATTACCTTTATGTTAATGAAGGGAAAGAAAAATAACAGTCTGCAGTAGGAAGTAAATCTGATGAGATGGACGTTGAAATCTGGAAATGTGGATATGTTTTTCTTAGAAATTTAATAAACATTACAATTCTCAATTTTAACAATTTTTTAAAATTAAAAAATTAAATTTGATTTAAATTTTAAATTAAATTTTTTGAATTAAAATTAATTTTAATAATTTTAAAATTAAAATTTCATATAATTAAAAAAATTTAGCCAGGTGCAGTGACTGATGCCTGTAATCTAGCACTTAGGAAGACTGAGGTGAGAGAATCACTTGAGTCCAGGAGTTCAAGAGCAGCCTGGGCAATATAGTGAGAATCACATCTCTCCAAAAAAAAAAAAAAATTTTTTTTTTTACCAAGCAAATGGAGAGCAAAAAAAAGCAGGAGTTGCAATTCTTGTCTCTGATAAAATAGTCTTTAAACCAACAAAGATCAAAAGAGACAAAGAAGGACAATTACATAATGGTAAAAGGATCAATGTAACAAGAAGAGCTAATGATCCTAAATATATATGCACCAAATACAGGAGCACTCAGATACATAAGGCAAGTTCTTAGTGACTTACAAAGAGACTTAGACTCCCACACAATAATAGTGGGAGACTTTAACACCCCATTGTCAATATTAGACAGATCAATGAGACAGAAAATTAACAAGGATATCCAGGACTTGAACTCAGACCTGGACCAAGCAAACCTAATAGACATTTACAGAACTCTCTACCCCAAATCCACAGAATATACATTCTTCTCAGCACCACATCACACCTACTCTAAAAGTGACCACATAATTGGAAGTAAATCACTCCTCAGCAAATGAAAAATAACTGAAATAATAACAAACAGTCTCTCAGACCACAGTGCAATCAAATAGAGCTCAGAACACAGAAACTAACTCAGAACCGCACAGCTTCATGGAAACTGAACAACTGGCTCTTGAATGTTGACTGAATATACAATGAAATGAAGGTAGAAATAAAGGTGTTCTTCAAAACCAACGAGAACAAAGACACAACATACCAGAATCTCTGGGAAAATTTGAAAGTAATGTCTAGAGGAAAATACATAGCAATAAATGCCCACATGAGAAGCAAGGAGAGATCTAAAATCGACACCCTATGGTCAAAATGGAAAGAGCTAGAGGAGCGAGATTAAAAAAAACTCAGAACGTAGCAGAAGACAAGAAATAACTAAAATCAGAGCAGAACTGAAGGAGATAGAGACACAAAAAACCCTTCTAAAAATCAATAAATCCAGGAGCTGGTTTTTTGAAAAGATCAACAAAATAGACAGATCACTAGCCAGATTAATAAAAAAGAAAAGAGAGAAGAATCAAATAGATGTAATAAAAAATGATAAAGGGGATATCATCACAGATTCTACAGAAATTCAAACCATCATCAGAGATTATTACAAACAACTCTATGCACATAAACTAGTAAACCTGGAAGAAATGGATAAATTCCTGGACACCTGCATCCTCCCAAGCCTAAGCCAGGAAGAAGTCAAAATCCTGAACAGACTAGTAACAAGGTCTGAAGTTGAGGCAGCAATTAAGAGCCTACCACACAAAAAAGGCCCAGGTCCAGATGGGTTCACAGTCGAATTCTACCAGACATACAAAGAGGAGCTGGTACCATTCCTTCTGAAACTATTCCAAACAATCCCAAAAGAGGGAATCCATCCCAAATCATTTTATGAGACCAACATCATCCTGATACCAAAACCCAGCAGAGACTCAGCAAGAAAAGAAACTTCAGGCCAATATCCATGATGAACATAGATACAAAAATCTTTAATAAAATACTGGCAAACCAATTGCAACAGCACATCAAAAAGCTTATCCACCATGATCAAGTAGGATTCATCATGGGGGATGCAAGCCTCGTTCAACATACACAAGTCTATAAACGTAATTCGCCACATAAACAGAACCAAAGACAAAAACCACATGATTATCTCAACTGATGCAGAGAAGGCCTTTGACAAAATTCAACAGCCCTTTATGCTAAAAACCCTCAATAAACTAGGTATTGATAGAATGCATCTCAAAATAATAAAAGCTATTTAGGATCAACCAACAGCCAATATCATACTGAATGGGCAAAAACTGGAAGCATTCCCTTTGAAATATGGCACTACACAAGGATGCCCTCTCTCACCACTCCTATTCAATATAGTATTGGAAGTTCTAGCCAGAGCAATCAGGCAAGAAAAAGAAATAAAGCATATTCAAATAGGAAAGGAAGAATTCAAATTGTCTCTACTTGCAGACGACATGACTGTATATCTAAAAGACTCCATTGTCTCAGCCCCAAATCTCCTGAAACTGATAAACAATGTCAGCAAACTCTCAGGATACAAAATCAATGTGCAAAAATCACAAGCATTCCTATACATCAATAACAGACTTAAAGAGAGCCACATCAAGAAGGAATTGCCATTTACAATTGCTACAAAGAGAATAAAATACCTAGGAATACAACTAACAAGGAACATAAAAGACCCTTCAAGGAGAACTACAAACCACTGCTCAATGAAATAATAGAGCACAAAAGCAGATGGAAAAACATTCCACGTTCGTGGTTAGGAAGAATCAATATCGTGAAAATGGCCATACAGCCCAAAGTAATTTACAGATTCGGCATATCCCCATCAAGCTACCAATGACCTTCTTCACAGAACTGGAAAAAAACACCTTAAACTTCATATGGAACCAAAAGAGAGCCCACATAGCCAAGTCAATTCTAAGCAAAAAGAACAAAGTGGGAGGCATCACACTACCAGATTTCAAACTATACTACAAGACTGCAGTAATCAAAACAGCATGGTACTGGTACCAAAACAGAGTTATAGATCAATGGAACAGAACAGAGGCCTCGGAAGCAACACAACATATCTACAACCATCCAATCATTGACAAATCTGTCAAAAACAAGCAATGGGGAAAGGATTCCCTGTTTAACAAATGGTATTGGGAAAACTGGCTAGCCATGTGCAGAAAGCAGAAACTGGACCCCTTCCTGACACCTTACACTAAAATTAACTCCAGATGGATTAAAGACTTAAACATAGACCTAACACAATAAAAACCCTAGAAGAAAATCTAGGCAAAACCATTCAGGACATAGGTGTAGGCAAGGACTTCATGACCAAAACAACAAAAGCATTGGCAACAAAAGCCAAAATAGACAAATGGGACCTAATCAAACCCCTCAACTTCTGCACACAAAGGAAACAGTCGTCGGAGTGAATTGGCAACCTACAGAATGGGAAAAAATTTTTGCAGTCTACCCATCTAACAAAGGGGTGATATCTAGAATCTACAAAGAACAAAAACAGATTTACAAGAAAAAAACAAACAAGCTCATTCAAAAGTGGGCGAAGGATATGAACAGACACTTTACAAAAGAAGACTTACATGAGGCCAACAAATGCTCATTGTCACTGGTCATTAGAGAAATGCAAATCAAAACTACCTTGAGATACCATCTTATGCCAGTTATAATGGTGGTCATTACAAAATATGGAAACAACAGATGCTGGAGAGGATGTGGAGAAATAGGAACACTTTTACACTGTTGGTGGGAGTGTAAATTAGTTCAACCATTGTGGAAGACAGTGTGGCGATTCCTCAAGGACCTAGAAATAGAAATTTCATTTGACCCAGCAATCCCATTACTGGGTATATATCCAAAGGATTATAAATTGTTGTACTATAAGGACACATGCACACGAATGTTCATTGCATCACAGTTTACAATAGCAAAGACCTGGAACCAACCCAAACGCCCATCGATGATAGACTGGACAGTGAAAATGTGGCACATATACACCATGGAATACTAGGCAGCCATCAAAAATGATGAGTTCGTGTCCTTTGTAGGGACATGGATGAACCTGGAAACCATCATTCTCAGCAAACTGACACAAGAACAGAAAATCAAACACCACATGTTCTTACTCATAGGTGGGTGTTGAACAATGAGAACACATGGATACAGGGAGAGGAGCATCACACACTGGGGTCTGTCGGGAGGAAATAGGGGAGGGACAGTGGCGGATGGGGAGTTGGGGAGAGATAGCATGGGGAGAAATGTCAGATATAGCTGATGGGGAGGAAGGCAGCAAATCACACTGCCATGTTTGTACCTATGCAACAATCTTGCATGTCCTTCACATGTACCCCAAAACCTAAAATGCAATTTTAAAAAAAGGTAACCAGATGTGGTGGTAGGCACCTGTAGTCCCAGCTACTTGAGAGGCTGAGGCGTGAGGTTTGCTTGAACCCAGGAGGCTGAGATTGCAGTCAGCCGAGACTGTGCCATTGTACTCCAGCCTGGGCAACAAGAGCAAAACTGGGTCTCAACACAGACAACAACAACCACAACACACATGGAGCTACATCAAACTGAAAAGCTTCTACACAGCAAAGGAAATAAGCAACAAAATGATAAATGAAAAGACAATCTGCAGAATGGGAGAAAATATTTGCAAACCATTTATCTGGTTAATATCTAAAATATGTAAGAAATTCCACCCACTGACTCAAAGAG